TATCCTATCCTATCCTATCCTATCCTATCCTATCCTATCCTATCCTATCCTATCCTATCCTATCCTATTCTATTCTATATTTTTTATATTCTATATGCCATTCCAAGTGATCTAAAAGCCAAATGTAGGCATGGGAGAGAGAGCTATCCATCCAGAAAAGCAACAGAGTGCTTTACCTGGTCTTTTATCAGGATCAGAAAGGCTGGCATTCGAAATACAACGAACACGGGGAGACCCGCTGGCTGGCACTCCGCATCTCTCATCTCGCTTGCAATTAGGGGAGCTCTTTAGGCAGAGGAAGAGAAATAGCCCCTGTCTCCATCGCCTCTGCTTGTTGATAGGAAATGAATGGGATGGAAGCCGATGCTTGAAATAATTGCATATGCTAATTTGGCACACTTAATTAGCATAATTAGCGTGTCCATTTGCATATAATGAAAGTCAGGCTGAGATGCAGAGGGCAAAGGGAGGTTATAGAAATCCCACCTGTTCCTCCCAGCGCAATATCGCCGCCGAAAGAATGCCTTGTAATGGCTGAGCCGAATGTAATTTGCGATGATAGACTCTTTATTAGAATGTGCAGACTTGCAACTTCGGTGAAAAAGAAAAAGAAAAAAAGAGAGAGAAAAATAAAATCGCATTGCTCTGGCTTTCATTGGATCTAACATTAAACTATTTTGATGAGCTCATTTTGGCAAGAACACGGACCGTAAATAACACCTTGAAGCACCAGGGACACCAGTTAACATTTTGTGAGAAGAAAGGGTCACATCGCTAGATTTTTTTATGTCCCTTTCCGGCTTAAAGAAATATATCAAAGGCCTTGTCCAAACTTCTGCAGGAAAAGAATACACATTCTAAACATGCCTAAGTTAAGCAAAAAAAAAAAAAAAAAACCAAACCCAGGATGACCCACATTTTGTAGAGAAAGTAGTTTGGACAAAATTTGGAGCAGAGGTGGCATTCAGCCGGTTCTGACCAGTTCTGGAGAACTGGTAGTGGAAATTTTGAGTAGTTCGGGGAACCGGCAAATCCCACCTCTGACTGGCCCCGCCCCCATCTATTCTCTGCCTCCCATTGAGTCCCAGCTAATCGGCTGGGTCTTCTTTGGTTGCCCTGCACAGGAGAAAGGAGCTGGAAAGCAGGTTAGTGGGGTGGGGAGGGAATGTGGATTTTGCAGTAATCTTCCCCCTGGAATGGGGAGGGAATGGGGATTTTGCAGTATCCTTTCCCTGCTACGCCCACCAAGCCATGCCCACCAAGCCACACCATGCCCACAGAACATGTAGTAAATTTTTTTTGAATCCCAACATTGATTTGGAGACCCTCCCTCTGAATTTAAGCAGCCAAACTCTTGAACTCTGGAAATTAGTTGGTGTTTAATCCCTACTCACAGCCATTCATGCCCTAGTCTCATGCCGTAGATGTTCTACATGGTGCTGCCCTTGAAGAGTATCTGGTAGCTCCAGTTGATGAAAAATGCAGCGGCCTGCATGGTTTGGTGCAGACCCCCTCCTGCGGGAGCTGCATTGATTGCCGATTTGCTTCCAGGTGCAATTCAAGGTGCCGCTGGTCACCTTTAAAGCCCTTCGTGGCTTGGGACCAGGTTATCTGAAGGGACATCTCTTGCCGGTCACACATACCTGACCCCTTCCTCCTCTCTGGCAGCCCCTCAAAAATTGTAAGACTGCTATCCTGTCTGCCCCGGTCCTTCTCTTCGCTAGACTAGCCAGGCCCAATTCCTGTAACCGTTCATTGTATGTTTTAGTCTCCAGTCCTCTAATCATCTTGGTTGCTCTTCTCTGCCCTCTTTCTGGAGTCTTAACATCTTTTTTATAGTGTGGTGACCAAAACTGGATGGAGTACTCTAGGTGTGGTCTTACTAAAGCTTTATAGAGTGGTATTAGTACCTCCCTTGATCTCGATTGTATCCCTTAGAATAGAATAGAATAAGAAAGGAATAGAATAGAAAAAGAAAGGAA